ATACTTTTGAGTTGCACCGAAAAAGCAAAGCAAAAACCCTTTTTAAAAATATGTTTATGTGGGCAAACGATTTTTTTTAAATTCTGAAATTCTTAGGTGGGCAAAAATTGGCAGTTTTTATTTTTCAAGTAAACTATTTTTAATGGGTGGGCAAACGACCTATGTCGGATAAAGTAAGTTTTAGTAGGTGGGCAAACGTTTTTTGTTAAAAAAATCATATTTTAAAGAGGTGAGCAAAAAAACTAATTTATGGGCAAACGTGGGCAACAAAAGGGCAAAAGATTCCGCTTTTCAAAATGCAAAATTTTTAGTCTATCCAACTTCTTTGAGCTAACGACAACGCAGCGCAAGTCTATTTTTAAATTGGAAACGCGCTCTAACGCCTACGATCGCGAAAGTCTGTCAAGTCACTCGGAGAAATTGTGGACTTCGTTTTAATAACAGATTTCAAAAGTGACATGAAATCATTAGGCTTATAATTAGTTAAAATTGTTTTTCAATCTTATAATAATTTTGGTCCAGTCAGTCGCAAAATAAACAAACATTTTAAAAAGCCTTTCCTAAGCAACGAAATCAAGTTGGCAGAAAAGCGCAAAATGACGCATACCAAAAGTGCAAAGGGTAGAGGACTATTAAGACAGACAGTAAATAAACTAATTGACTCTGCGAAGGCAAACTTCTATAGAAGTAGATTTAAAAATTCATCATCAACTAGTCAAACATGGAGGGAAATAAAGTCTTTAGGAATAGGTAAGGAAATAGCAACACCGGGACAGGATATTGACATAAAAAATTAACATAAACTTTCAGAATGCAATGTACCAAAAATCTGTGATAGCAATACATATGTACCTTAGATTAGTGCCTGAGAATTTCTGTGATAATAGGTTTACATTTCTGTGTGTCAGACAGTGAGAAGTGCTTATTAATATTGACATTATTAAAATCAAATCAGACGCAGTCCGACTTGACGATATTACAGATGTGAATGTGTGTCGTCCCCTGAATAGACTAACTGACTCAACCTCTAGTTCTGACAAACATGCCTATTGAATACATTGAAAGAGCTACCAACTTGCAATTTATTTTCATCAGCACGCTAAGCTAAGTCGTATAGATTACTTAGATCAATCTTTTCTGTTAAACACTTTTTGCATAATGACATGCGTTTATAGTTTGTAAAATCCTGCCTGGTCCCAACGCTTTTTTATGGAATTGAAGAAAAGTAGCCTACAATAGTATCGCAAGATTCATTTTCAATCTCCACCCATTTGACCATGTCGCTAAATATGCGTACAAAATATTTGAACTCCATTTGGCAGACTGGATGAAAATGAGAATTTAATATCCTAGTTATTCTCACGCACGTCTTCTATCGATATCGGAAGAGAAGCAATGAAGCAGAATAGGTTTTTACACTTGACAGACGTGCTGCATAACGTTTGAACAGCTGTTCTTTGTTTTGATTTGACAAGGAAAATCTTCCCGCCTTTTTTACCGGCTATTTTTGCAGTTGTTTTCGGTCGATAGTGGTGATAGTTCCCCACGATAGTATATCGATATGCCAAATATCGAGTAAATATCTAGTAAAAATCAAAATTTTGCATATACAAAACCTATATAATAAACAGCGTCTAGCCACAGACGCAATGAAGCAACCCAAGTGTAACTAAGCCGTTATAGCCCAGTCCCACAGAGCCCATCCAAGCGAAACGATTGTGATTTATGGTAGATGGTGGACTGGTGTTCCTACAGAGCCACCATCCATTTTCCACCATCCATCAAATGGTTAAATGACCTTGAATGCGTTTACTGACCCATTTTGGGAGAGCGGGAGTGAAAATGGCGAACGACATTGGTGTAGGTCTGGGTTTTACTTCAGTAGCTGCAAAAAGTGGTTAAAAAACGGTCGGAGAAAAAAGGAGTACTTAAAATTTGTTATTTGTGCATAGGTAAGTTCAAGCACTAGGAACCCTATCTAATTTTAGAAACTCGTGAACAGAAGACACTTAACTGGCAGACCTAACCTAGTCGTGGAGACCACGTCGTCCTTAGACGATAAGTAGGCTGCACCTGACCGTCAGCAGCGATCCGCAGCAGCATCAGAAGCGATCCGCAGCAGCATTCAGCAGCGATCCGCAGCAACATCAGCAGCAGCAGCTGCAGAGATCAGCAGCGGCATCAACGCCTCCAGCAATTGTTTCCGTGACGACCACATACGGTGATTCCCTCGATGAGTCCGTACCGGGAACGAATACCCGCGCTGGGTACGTAGTCATCCCTGGGACCACCGACGCAATGCATCCGGTCCCTTCTGGCCAAAGGTTGAGCTTCCTCCGGACTATTAGGTACCGTACTCGTGCTGGTAATCGCCGCAAGCAGTCTCTCCCTTTTTGCTGCAGCGTCGACCATGACCAAACGTTCAACTCTGCAATAAATAAATTGTAAAATCATTAGTTTATGAAAATCATGCAGTCAACATTGTGCTAAATACTCACTGTAAATTCTAATCTGGAATTAGAAGCTTAATTCCGCGCCCTAGCCGCGCGTCTAACTATGTCTGTATTGGGCGGGGAGATGAGTCGATCATAATCCACAAGGAATAGACTTCGGTCTGCCGGAGATGGGGTGTGCCTCCAACATTACCCGTGGGGCACCCAAGGAAGGTTGGGTGCGATGTGGCAATGACACCAAAGCCACCAATTTCGTCCAATTGTGGTTTAAGTTTCCGCAAAGCCCGTAAGTGCCGTGGAGTTAATTGTCCGCCCTCGCGTACTTGGAAATCGCCAATCTATTGGTTTGGTTACTGGTTGGTTATTCAAATGCTTATCTTAATTTTTTCGAGATATTCAATTATAATTTTGTATATGTCGTGGTATTTTTTTAGTCTTGGGTAGTGTTGTTTGGTTGTATTTGGAACGTGATTTGTGTGCGATGAGTTATCGAATCGTTGCACTGTCATCTGTTATTGTTTATAAGTGCATTTTTTTAAGTATAGTTGTAAGCGTTACATTTAATCTTTATGATTTTTATAGCCGAAGGCCTGAGTTCAAGTTGTTAAACCAAGATTTGTTTAGCGTTTTTGGGAAGAGTTCGCAGTAACCCCGCTGTTTGCCACTAGCGAATTCGGCGTACTCCTTGTCCCAGCTCTCCTGTATTAATCTGTGTTTTCCGCTGTGGCATCTTTTATACTCCATCCCACAACAGTGAAGGTACCGTGTGAGGGAGCGTTTTTGGCAGCCAAGTCCATGAATTCGTTTTGGGGTACGCCAGTGTGGCTTGGTATGAATAATGAATTTCAACAGCCACCAATTGAGGATGATTGGCAATTTTCTTTCTTAAGTTGCAGGTTATGTAGTTGTCGTGACTGGACTTAAAAATTGCAGTTGCGCTGTTTCTGCATTCAGTCAAGAGGGCTACACGAGTTATGCTTACCGACATTGTCGACTGCCTTATCAATCGCCGATAGAGACGACAAAATCTTGTTCGTACAGAAACTGTCTGTGAAGTTCGAGCTATTTACTAAAAACGCTGCGCTTGAATACCTATCTGTTACTGACCCGTCTGTGATAATGATGTCAAAGTCTCTATTCCTAAGAGATCCCATTTTTTCCTTAAATATTTGTAAAATACTAGCTGTATTCATATCACATTTGATTTTGGCAGTTCCCTTAAAGAAATTTAGGTCTACTCTTATCTTACTATTATGTACAGGTAATGGATCACAGATTTTAACTTGATCTAGAATATGTTTAAAGTGTTTATATAATTTGGCATAACTATTATTAATCTCACTGTTGGATACAAGTGATTCTTTGGCTGACAACTCATGGGCAAAAACTTTTATCAATTCTTTTGCCGTTTAAAAACAAATTCTGTACTCGGGCGGAAGCTCCGCCGCCATGTGATATAAGATCGGTACCGGTGTTCACTTTGTTAAGCCGAGTACGCGTCTAAGACTGAAATTTGTTTGTACTTTTATCCTATCCATAGCTGTTTTGGACATTTTGCTAAATGAAGAACATGCATATTCTAGACTTCTTCTGGCAAACGCGTTCTAAAGCAGAAGACCTTGTTGGGAATTATCCCGAAAGTGCATCCACTAAGCAATTTTAAAAATGCATTTGTTTTGTTTGCTGATTATTTTACCTGTTCAATGTTTGCGCATGCAGAATTATTAGCGGCTACTATTCGTCCTAGATATTTGATTTGCACTACATCTTTAATTGGAATTCCCTTATAAAAAACTTGAAGCGGCTGTTTGCGCAGATTAAAGTGAATAACGCTGGACTTAGCTGGATTAAAGAATAAATTAAGCTCTCTACACTCTATTTCAAACTCTGCTATTTTTTCTAAAAGTATATCCCTTGCTCCTGAGAAGGTAGCATCGTCTGCATTGTGAAGACTTGCAGTGTATAGATTAAACAAAGTGGGGCGACTCTTCCCCTTGACAAGAACTCACTCATAAGGAAGTGAGTTAACCAGGCAACGTTGAGATTTAGGAGTTTTTCTCTAAGATTCCTATATCGACACAGTCAAAGGCTTTTTGCAGATCTAAACATGCTGCCACTACCTGATGTCCTTCTGCTTTTAATGCTTGCACTTTGTTTATTATAGCATGATTCCATTGTCGCATTAAAACGCATTTAGCCAAATGCGCATTTATGTATTTACACAGGGAATACTGGAAAATACCGAAATTCTTCGTGCCACCACCAGCTGTTTTCTATAAGCAAGGTTGGCGCAATTTTTGATGTCTTTTGAATATAAAATCTATTTTGTATAAAAATGACTGAAACCTAGAGCGCACGCTGCAAATTCTGCTCGCAGTACCAAAATGCATTACTGCTGGATCTCTGGCATTAAATAACTCTCACATATACGGGGATCCTTGCCCTTTTTAGAAACTGTGGTGGTCTCCATTGCAAACACGTCATAACAACGCAATCAGCTTCTCTTCTTTGTCGTCCAAGTTGGCAAATGCCTCCGTCGCAATATTGATGTCCTGCTGAGCATTACAGAGTTTAGTAAACTCACTCATGTTCATTAATTTTAATTATTTTCTTTTGGATTTGCCAAAATTCAAAAGTATACAAGCCCAGATCAGCTGTTAGTGCCACTCACATGTCGGAGTAGCATTACTAAATGCTAATGCGCCAATGGAATCAGTCACATTTAAAAAGTACACTAATGCGGCAATGGAATCAGGCTATTAGATCAGTTATGCACATAGATGTGGGATCTGTGTTTCCTAAATGCATAACTTCTATTCGGAAGCAGCCTATTTTGTGAGATGTGGTGATCTAACTTGAGTTTATCTGTTATCTTAAAAGGTTCGTT